GAAGCAGAGCCTATTTATCGAACGATGGCAGTGCGCATTAGTGGCTTCACCGATCTCCCTATGACGATCGATGTCGTCGAGTTCTGATGCATTTAAGAGCTACCAAACCACAATCTGCTTGCAAGTGTCGTGTTCAACACATTTGTCCCACTGCCTGAACCAGACGAAAACGTATCGGACGCCGAACACGCAAGCGATTAGGCATCACAGGACCTTAAATTTCTAATGCAGAAGTTCTGCACTAAAACAAATCTCACTTCGCTCGTTAAATCGTCCCACCCACCCCACCTCATCTTCCCGCCCCGCCTCTCCAAACTACTCTTCTTCGCGAAAAGATGACACGTTCAGCCCATTCTGACCGTATCCACAGTGTCGGAACAGGTTGGTTCCGTGATTCTCACACGACAGGCACCGCCTCATCGCCACCTCGAGAACCTTCTCGGGGTACAGGCAAAACACTAGGTTTGCATACCGAGCAAGCCACTGTCTCAGCCTTCCAAACAACACTTCTATCGGATTCAAATGGGGGCAGTAGAGCGGGAGGTAAAATAAATAGCATCACACCAACGGACGACATCCTCAAGCTTCCGATACATGTGTATGCGGGCGTTGTCCAGCACAACGAAAGAGCGAGAAGGTGGCCAGGTGCTTAAATACTTGACGATTTGACGCACAAACGCTCTGTGAAAGCGTTTACGTGAGAACGTCCCTCGAGTCGTCCAAGCTACAAATCCATGGACGTCGCACACCGCCAGAATAGAAACACGACTTCCGCGCTTGAAAGGTACACGAACGATAGCTTTTGATCAGCGCTTGGACCATGCGTACCTACGCATCGCGCCCTTAGAAATCTCATCGAGAAAAAAAGCTGCTCAGGATAGCTGTAAAACGATTTCAGCTTGGCCAGATATGTCTCGACTTCCATCGGTAGAGCCTCACGAGGTCGCCGCTCCAAAACATTTCTGGGCAGATTCAGCTGGAATCGTAGAAGCCCCAACGCACACGTAGCATTAAGGCCTCGCTGCTGCTGTGAAAAGCGTGCCTTCATCCCAGACAATAGTTCCTCCACGTAAAAGCACGGGTGATCCTTTACGTAAGACTATACGTACATGACGATGACCGAAGGGAAAACAGGTCTTGTTGCTCGCTTTTCTTGACCGGTTTTCTTGAAGAGAGCGTACCAGCGTCTGACAGCGCGTCCTGAGACGCGAAGTAGACGGCCTACCATCTCACATGACACTCCGTACGCGTAATGTAGCGTAACAGCTCTCCACCTCAGATCTCCAGACCACCAGACCATTTTCACGAATGACAACCACCACATTACTACTCTTTATTAGCTGTTAGTATCCCGAATAACAGCAATTCCGATTACTACGATAAATTTCATTTTCTGCAATAGAACTCCGGCGTGGGCACCGACTATCCGCCTAGATACCCCAGTGCAAATCAGGAACACGCTGCTGCTACCGGAAATGCAGCAATATTTTATGTTTTTTAATGTGTAAATCATGTCCGCATCCGGTGGCATTTAGAGTCGGTTAACAGCCGCTTCTACAAAAGGGAAAAGGGGATTCACAGGCTCAGGTCATCTTGATTTTTTTTAAATATTTGGAATACAGGGCGAGAGCTATTTGAGTGGCATTCGTCGCTCCCCCTTTAGACGGCAAACCACAGGAACCTCCATCTTCCTCCCTGCTTGCGACCCACCCTGTGCAGCTTGAGAACAGCTTCACCCATGGTACGTGCATTTTTCAAAGCAATTTAGGCTTTAAACCTGTACATTATATGCCTTGTGCGTGTTACCTGAGCTTTATTGACACTTAATCTGGTTTTGGTAGGCTTCCGACATCCCAGCGTACCCTGGAAGCCGAATGAATCTGCCGAGTGAAAGTGCGCGCGATCCACCAACCTTACCAAAAGCCGCTCAGCTGGTCGCGGAGCGGGAAGAGCAAGCGCAGCAAAGACGAAAAATGCGTGAGCTTCGAACGACGAAGGTAGCCAAACTCAACGCTCTTCTAAACTTACCAGAAAACACAGTTTTCGACAGAAGTGTTTTGAAAAGGCCCAGCGTGTAGCAGCGAAACGTCGTCAAGACGCTGCTCCACAATTAGAAGGACAAGGCAAGAGAAGGATGATGGCTCGCGTCAAGCACCTGCAGAGTCCAGCTCACAAGAAGATAACGCTGGCATGGAGTTCTGCGCGCTTGGTGAAGTCTTCACTCAGCTCAATGAAGAAGAAGCTCAAAGTCCTCCTTCGGATAGTAACGACTCGGACTACGTGGACGATCATGCAATGGAGGTACCTGCGATTGCTGGAACCGAGTCTAGTGTTGCGTATCGTCGTGCTTACGAGTTTTTCGATGAAGACGAGATAATAGAGGCAGCCAGCAGTGAAGTTCTCATTTCTGGTGTTGAGCCGGATGAACGCCAAACGAGTGACCGGATTCTTTCCGGTGACCTTAAACTCCCGAGTTCGGACTTTGCTGGAGATGGTATTCTCGAATATGAGCCGTCGCTGGTCATCATGGGAGGCATTCGATGTAGCCTTTGCCGTATTTCAAGCCAAAACGTTTCAGCAGTTTTCATCTCGTACGAGCACGTCTGTGTCGAGTCGTAACGAGCAGATTAAAAAAAGCTGCCGAGAAGAAACTAGTCGCCAAGAAGAAGGGAGCGTTTGGCTCTGGTGTTGATGGTGGGGCCGACGGGAGCGTGGTGTCTACAGTGTGGTGAAGTCGCGTATAAATTGATACCAGACTCGTTTGGAGCTTATTGCAAGACGCTCAAGTGTACGCACGGTCAGACGCACAAAAAGCGAGGGAAAGGAAAGCGAAATCACCTTGTTGTCCGCGATAGCAAAAATCAACGCTCGAGTAACATCTTGTCGAGGGTCTGGCTGGCACATTGCGCTGAAAGAAAAAGGCTACCATAACCACGCAACAACCCATCAGTGGTTCGACTATGCAGAGAATCGGACCATTAAGAATGCTCACTTGGAGAAAGAATTATATAAGATGCATAAAGCTGGTGCAAATGCAAAAGGAATTCTTTAGCACTTACGAGATCGAGCCGGTAAGTTTCGCGTGGCAATGCGGTATTGCTGTGTTGAATTATTGTGCGCGTTTAGTATTAATTTGGTGGGCATCCGGTGTACTAAGGTATGTTTTGTTTGAAACCACTGCAGGGAAACATACCATCCTCAATGACGTACATAACATAATTCAACGCTCGAAACAAAAGCTCCGAGGAAATCTTTCTGATGCGGAACAAGCATGAGCTGTCCTTGATGAATTTTGCGGTGAGACTAGAGGCAACCCGGCGGAGATTATGGTTGACTGCGAGTCCAAGGTAGCCCGTGTCGTGACGTTTCAAAGCGCTCGAATGAAGCGCTTATTTCGTGCATTTCCAGAAGTCGTGATGGTCGACTCTACACACGACACAAACGAAAATCGCAACAAACTCTTCAGCTTTGTCGTGTATGATGTGTTTGGAAAGGTGTGTTAGCCTAGAAATGTAAGCAGTGCTTCTTACTTAAATAATATTATGACTTCATGTTTGAATTTAATGGTACGCAGGGAAAATATGTGCACCATGCGCTGGTCGTTAGCGAGGAGAAAGCGAACCTTCGAGTAGCTTTAACAAGCTTCAAAATTCACAACCCAACATGGTCCAGCATCAAAGTTATAATGACAGATAAAGCGGTCCACGAAAAGGATGTCTTGCAAGAAGCCTTTCCAGACGCACGACAGTTGCTGTGTCAATGGCATGTGGTGACACGGCTGAAAAAGCAAGTCGTGTGGTATGCACTTAAGGTGAAAAAGGAGGTAAAGGGAATCATGAAAGCGCTGGTGTACGCCAGGTCGGAGCAAGAATACATTGATTGCAAAGCTGCTCTGCTTTCAAAGCTGGACAGCAACGAGGATCACCCATTGTACGTCACATTCTCGAAAAACTGGGACGTTAATTCGGATGAATAGTTTCCTTCAAGAGAAGCAGTGTTCCACATCACAGAACAACACAAACAATCGAATCGAGTCCAAGTGGGGTAAAATCAAACATGTGGTTAATGCAACCTTCAAGATCGGTGAGCTCATATCTATGCTGATCACGCTACAGAACTACGCGGAAGAGCAGTACCTCGCTCAATTTCATCGCGTCGGAAGCCGCCCAGCAATGGCTGAAGATCCTGAGCTAGCTTCACTAGCCATGCAGACTAGCGCCTACGCTTTCGATATGGTTACAAAGCAACATTTTCTTGATGTTGGACCAGAAGCAGATTACGATGTGGCCTTGTGTACATCAGGAAAGGCTACGCTGAGGCACGTAGGGACGGGCAGCATACACGAGGTCGACTTGACGGTACGATAATTTTTTTTTCGGTGCTATTCCGGTGTATTTATTTTGCGATTATTAAAAATTCGTAACGAATCAAAGACACAGCAGCTCTTCTGCTGCCTTTGGCGTCCAAGCAACCGTAACGTCAGCTGTCGCCGCAGCCTTCTTAGTACTTTTTCCGCGGCTTTCGAGTGGACGGTAAGCAGATATAGCATCTTCACCACCACCGATGCTCACAGGTGTGGGGGCAATTGGAGTTGCAGACCGCGCAACCAGACGTTTGCGCGAGAGACACAGAAGAAGCGACAATATCGTCGGCGCTGGTGTCCACTAACAAGTTCTCCGAGCTTGACGTTGTGGGGTCGCCACAGGCATCGCTCGTAGCTGCCCCTACCGCGAAGTCGCATATAATTTACAAGGAGGTTGTATGGTATTTAGCTAACAATAGAGAGCTTAAGCAGTTCAGAACGAAACTAAAATCTGAGAAAATCTAAGAATTTCTGATAAATTTTGTTGTTTTTCGTCTCGTGTTATTGTCAAGTTGCGTTGCGCTCTAAACAACGAAACGGAACCAGGTGATAGCCCGTGTCAAATCTGCGCCCTCCAAACGAGATGGAATCGGACAGCGACGACGACGTTCTCGAGTGTCGTCGCGTGGCAAGGAAGATGCTGGATGCCTCACGGATGAAACGACTACATGGTGACTGGGAGACCATTTCAAGACTTCGTTATCGGGGGCTGACGCTACTCTATGACTCAAAGCCTCGGTTTTCATTACTAGGTGTTCGATTTGATGTCAACGACGTCACCGACGACACATTTCTGACCTTCTATAAATTAACCCATCGACAACTACGACGTTTACAAGCTTCGTTTAAGTTACCGGACGTGATCCGGACAGGTTCGCACTCGCGTGCATGCTGTAGTGGGGGTAGAGGGCCTCTGTATCACGTCTAGCGTACCCTACAAGATGGATGGATATGGCTACAATCTACGGAAGGTGGCCAAGTGCTCTAAGTAGTATTTTCTACTTTGTCATCGGATTGATTAGTGAGAAGTGTGGTCAAATACTACTGGGGAACTTAGAATATGCTAGCTCTAGACTGCAAACGTTTAGTGAAGCTATTTGCAACCAAGGAGGCGAGCTAGACTGTGTTTGGGTTTTGCGCTGTTCAAGTTTCACCACTTCTTCACAGATTAGACCCTCATCTTCAGACGCATGCGGGTGCAGTGCATCTCCAACTTCTTCGGGGGCAGGTGAAGGTTCTTCTTGCCCAAGCTGAATAGATGCAGTGGCGCCATAGCCGAGCAGGTCGTCTTGGGAGCTGTCGCTATCTTCCATTAAGATGCAGCCTGAGGGAAGTTTCCGATGTGATTTGATTCGTTTCGTACAGTAATTATTGCTTAAGCTGTCATCTGGAATATTCGAAACGAAAGTTTCCATCGAGAGTTTTGTCGTTGCGAAAACGTGTTTCGTATTGTAGCTTAAAGGCTATAATGAGTTTGTATGAAGCACAATGCTCTAGCTGAAGCACACGCACAAGCAATACATTGCGTACCGGGTAGCTTTGCATCAACATAACGGATAAGCAATTAAAAGAGCCCCTGTGATACGAGATCATGCGTGATGTGTGGAGCGATCGAGACGGGATGGGTGCCGACCCATTCTTCTCAAGCGATGTCCCGGATCCAATGGAGAAGAGCTCGGTAGCGTAGACGCGGCCTGCGGGGGGGGGCAATGAAACAAACGATGATAGCTTTGGTCCTGGAGAAGCCCGTAGGTGGCGACGTTACACTGGAAAGCGCACGGGTGGCAGGTTTGAAACTGCAGAGGGCTTGAATATCGCTGGACACGGGCTTCACAGTATAGCAGATGCACTGAAGGTGTCAAGAGGATCAGGAGATCAAAACCACAGCCAGGGGTTGTTAATCTCTATGCGACAGCTTTTCCAAAACGTTCAAGCGCAGACACATGCGTTGAACAATCTACTTTAGCAAAATGGTGCCTACATTCGTGGTGATGTAAACACCAGCAAGTCGTCGTCGCTGCTGTTATCAGTGTACTGAATGATGCGCGCACTATCCAGGTATCGGATCATCAAATTGTGCAAACCCATTGGAGCTAGAACAAATTCAGCAGCACTACGAGGTATTTTGTTTTGCCCATCACACCTTGTAGCATTTGATAGCGCCTCTACCGAATACGAGAGGTACTCTCTACAGTCATGCGAGTGCAAATGCAGGTAGTTAAACTGCTTCTGTCGTGGCGTTAATACACCGCCCTCCTCGCAAGCACAGTAGGGCTATCAGTCCAGGAAGCAGCGCTTAGCCAGCATCTCCAATAAAATGAGTACTAGGTGGTATAGTCCTGTACGGAGTTCAACACACCTTGCTATACTGCCTGCACTTCCGATCCGACCAT